TTTTGTATGTTTACAAAAACAGGGTTCATTTCTGCTATTCTAGAATCTGTAAATTATCTATCAGTGTATGAAAGGCCAGAAAAATACAACATAAACGGGCTAATACTTTTCACTTCCAATTCCACAGACTGCTTGAGTTAACTTATTTGATCTTGCTGTATTTACTGTAGTGAAAAGAAAGAAGCTGTTCTTCTGGATTCCCTTTAGTTTAGGTTTAAACTGCCTGTGATACAGGATTCAAGGAAGGCTGGACTCATGATGGCTTTATATCATTACTGAAGCACGTATGAAGAAGCTTTATAAACTCAGGGCCTCCAGAGCTCTTCTGTCAATGGAGAGAAAAGAAGAAATGATTCTGAAGAGACAAAAAGCTTTTAAATTGAGACCTAAGCTGTTGGAAAGAAAGATGACGTCATTGCTATTCAAATGTGTTGGAACATGTTTGGGAAAATGTAAAGAAACTGAAAAAAATTTGGAACTGCCTAAAATATTTTTGAATTTTTTCTTGTGTGTTCAAACTTTCTTACCTGCATTTGGAATAAATAAAAGTTTTAGAGCATGTAAATGTCTGATACGGATTCTTTACTGTTGGCTGTGGGAGGCTTTGTAAATGGATTCTATACTGTCTGCTTCAAACAAGTCAGAAATTTTTGAATTACTTTTCCACTCAGTGAATTCCATGTGACTGTTTTATAGAGGTATGTAGTATGGCTGCTCTTCCAAGGTACACGTTATTTGAGCATGTTGTTCTTCTATCCCATTTTGGGGGGGTATCTGTCCTAGTCTTTATAATCGGCTATCCTTAGTGCTCAAGTACGTTATCCTATACTGTTTTTTTCCTAATGTGGTAGTTCTGACTTTAAAAAACAAAACATCCCCAAAACTCACGGTTAATATATAATGTATGATAGTGCCTTATATTCTCTGTATGAGAATGTTCAAGTTTTGCAGTTTTTTTTTTCTAGCAGCCTGCTTTGAAGTCCTAGGGACAGAATAGTTGAAACTGAAGAACAGAACAGCAGTGTTGTAACTACACACAATTTCTACTGTACACCCTTGGCCGGTTGTACGGCTAGGTAGAATGTAGATGACAATTTTTGTCAGTAGTAGATTGTACTTTCATGTGCCTCTCTGTTCTACATGGGTTATTATGAGCTCTGCAGCCACAATATATTAGCACTATGGTACAAAATTTTCACCACTGGTGGATATAATTTGTTTCCTGTAAAGGAAACTAGTATCATGCTTTTAATGCTCCTTCACTGTGAAACGGCTGTGACACTGTAAGAGTGCAAATTGGTGTTTGCAGTCTGAGATTAGATGAAACCAACTCCCCAGAGCTGTTCTTATGGATAGAGCTAAAGTTGGTCTGGTCCCTTAATTATGCACTTCCTTAACATAGTTATTTAGACTTTATGTTTAACCTTGTCCTTTTTTCTGGAGGTTTTACTGTTGTTTGGTGTTTATGATGTTTGTGGTTTAACTTTAGTGTATGGAACTATGTTCAGTGTGGATTTTGATTCAGTGTAGTTTTTATAGGCAGATAAGATTTTTCTGTACAGAGTTCAAATAATTTAGTAGTGTAAATACTCAATCCCTGTGTTAGGTTGAGGCTTTAAAATTCACTGTATATTGCAAACACTGGTACATCTTGTTCAGAGACAAAATTTGTGGCCAAAAACTTTAATGGTTTCTTCAACTATACTAGAAGCTTTTCCCCGACTTGTTTTATCTATGTGACGCTGGGGGAGCGGTAGTAGAAGCATTTGTTTTTTGCAGGAGAAACAAAGAGCTAAAGCCGTAAAAGGCCTTGAATGCTTGCTAACTCCTGCCTTAGGTTTTTCGGCTTGAAGTTGCACTCTTTTAAGCTCCCACTTAGTTGTTTATAAAACTCTGAATTGTCCTGCTTATTAGGATTTAAGGTCTGCAAAGATGCTTTTTTTTTTTTTTTTTAATTTGCCTGCTTATTAGGATTTAAGGTCTGCAAAGATTCATTTTTTTTTTTTTTTTTGAACATAGCTAAAAACGCTACACACTTCACAGTGCTGAGCAAGTTGGTAGGTCGGTTGAATTCAAACTCCAGTGAGCTCTGTGAAGCAGACATTGTGTTACCTCTTTGTCTTGATAAATTTCATCTGGTTGACCGTCTGGAAAGATGCCGTATGGATTATGCTGCACACAAACTAAGTGAAAGACAGACCAAGTAGTGATGGTTCTGTCCAATTCCTATCTATAGCCAGCAGTTCAGCAGTTGGACTGAAACCTTTATGTACTTCAGGATACCTGGAGTTGTTTTTCTCCTTTTGCGTAAGTCTAGCTGTCTTAAATACAGTGCAAGTGTGCTAATGAATGAGCTAGTGTCTTCAAATGTTTGGGGAGAAACATCACTGCTTGACCTGTGGCTATATTTTGAATGAAAGAATGGACTGATTCTTTAAAATCCTTAGAAGAGAAGGTTTTTTGAGGAGTTTCATGGAAGGATTCAAAAAGTGTCTACCTAAAGGTGAAGAATAATCTTTGGTAGCTCAGAGAAGAGTAAGCCCTAAAGAAGGGTGTTTAACATAGATCTGCAAGCTTACAGGGAAGAATCAAGGTGGTATTAAAATAACCTAAACTTGCAGCATGCAATTTACTTGGTTTGATTTTAATCTTTCTCCGTTTTGTTCATAATGAGAATCAAGTTAGTAACTTGAACGGAGATGCATGGAATTTATTTTGTACAAAATGTGACATGGAGTGGAGTTAGCTAAAAATCATCGCGTTTTGCTAATTGAGCTGATTCAGCTCCGTATCTTTGTATAACGCTAGAAAAGAATGATATTTCCAGAGATTTTAACCAGCTTTTAATAATACGGCAAGCTGGTAAAAATAAGTGTTATTGTGCAAAACAAGATGCATACAGCTAGTTAATTGTGCTCTGGTACAACATGTCTTACCCTAGTTACATGAAAAATCTTGGTTAAAAACACTTGAAGTGGAATTAGGAATGGGGGAAATCTTTACATACGCTGTAGCTGAATTCATGTGCATGCAGTGAATTACTCAGGTAATTAAAGTTGCTTGGTACAATGAATGGCTTTAAAAAAGATACAAGAAAATTGCTTGGACTTAAATACCATGGATGCGTAATTGCAGAGAATGGTATAAATTTATCTTGGTGTCTGTTGTTTCTAAAATGTGAGTTATGTCTTGTACTGTAACTGAATTTTGTTGCTCCAGGGTTTTTGAAAGTGAGACAGCCTATCTTAATAGGCTTTTTAGGTAAACAATTTCTAAAAGGAAAACATGAGCATGCCTGAAATGTCATAAGGCTAAAACAGATATCCTCTTCCTATTCTGCGCGTACTCAAATTGTTAGGCATTTCAATTTGATTCTTCATTTTCTAGTTTAAGCTTGTCTAATTGGCACTCATTAAGCCGTGTTATACCTCTTAACTCGGTGGAAATATCTTTCATGGTTATGGTTCTCCATCGAGAAGGACACCCAGTGATAATATTGAATACACCATAAATACATAGTAGCTCACCCCAACAGGAACCCTGTTTCTAACTCAACTCTTTGCACTTTGATATGGGCATTCTGCACTTCTGAGGACTCGGTCTTCTAGTGTAAATTGTCTCACACATTTCCAATTAAATGAGTTTACCTAGTACCAGCTTCTATTCAGCTTTTTGTTAACGAGTTGGACAATGAAATAGAGTACACTTACAATGCTTGCAAATGATGTCAAGGTGGAAAGAGTTGCAGCTCTTGGTAACGGTTTCATAATTTGAACTGATTGCATTGCAGTACAGTCCAATATTAACAAGTTGAATTTCAGTGCACAAATCTAAGTCTCCTTTTAGAAAGGACAAATGAAGTGCCCAAATACAGAATGGGAAAGAATTGATTAACAGTATTGTAAAAAAGACTGACAGTTGTACAGTGGTCTAGCAGTTGACTGTGAACACTTATATAAAAGGAAAAGCTGGGGATATAGATTCATGCCACACTTAAACTGCGGTAGAGTGTGAACTATCTGCCTGCCTTTGTTTTGGACTTGGAAAGAATGTGCTTGCAGGTTTTGTAAGGTCAGTAAGCTATGAATTTGGATCATTTGGTTTTTCCAGATTTAGCCTCATGATACTATATCCAACATATTGAAACTACTTGCAAGGTTTCTGGTGTTTGATTATGTATTTATAACGAGAACAATTACGACAAGTTGTTCTCCATATCAAGTGATGATAGGACAAAAACATAATTTGAATGTGCTCAGATTATTCAGGCAAATTTGTAGCAAATTTTTTCAAGTGCATGGATAGTAACATATAGTGTAATAGATTATAATCTCCCCAGGTAGAATATTGTTTTGTAAGAATGAGTTTGATAACCCCCTGCTGGGAATGGATTAAGGCTTGATTATGTCTGTGGTCACCTTTCCTTGTGCACAGATGTCCTAAAGGCAGGGTGGTGTTCAAATCAGAAAATGGAGCAGTTTTCTCAAAGTGATTCTTATTCTTACTCCCTCTCACTTCCTACTGGATGATCCCTCCTGCCACAGGTGACTCAAATGAACTGATCATAGGCTAATTCTCCATCTGAAGAACACAGAGCTCAGTCTTACAGTCCTATCACATTCGATGCAGTTTTGTCAGACGTAGTAACAGGTCTACAACCTCTGTTTCTGGCTTGTTCTTCACAATAAAATAAGAAGGAAGTGTATTTCTGCTCTAACAGCTGAAGACACTGAGGCAGAGAAGTTGAGGTCTGCTTTTTAAAGATTCCCATGCCTATTTTGCACAAAATATATGGAATTGTTGTCCCAAAGACCTGCTCAAAGTTAAGTCTCTTTTTCCATATGTGCACTTAAAAGATGGGTTCAAGTGACTAGCAAACAGGTAGCCTAATGCAGATAGGGTTAGGATACTGAAGTGTTTGGCTGCCCCTTTTCAGGTTATTTTATAGCTCTGATTTGTTATTGAGGTCTATGTCTGACTAGCACAATGTTTTATCATAGGTTTTGAGACTGCAAAGTCTTTTGCACTGCATGGGGCTTATGTTATCCTGGCCTGCAGAAATATGTCAAGAGGCAATGATGCTGTACAACGCATTCTTATGGAGTGGGTAAGTAAATGTCTATAATGTCCGACATTAAGCTATATTTTCCAATTTCAAAATACAGCACCGACATGAAGACTTCTGTGCACGAAAGGCAATTAAATAGATGCTTAGTTTCAGAGCAAGAATTTGAGGAAAAAGCCTTTTCTTATTTGGTAATACTTCATTCAATCACTGGTATATCAGAACAGTAAAGATATTTCCTATTTTATAACCATGTTAGACTGCAAGACTTGACATCCTTTTATCCATGTTATGTTTAAATGCTTTGTAAGGGCTAAGAATTTTGAAAGAACCACTGAGGCACATCTCATAGCTAATGGGGCAGGAATTCAACTACCAAAATGCATAATTAACTGGAGGGGACTGTAGATTCTCAGGTGTTAGGAACAGCCATTATTTTGCCCATAGTTTTTAATATTATGAGAGATTTCAGGCAATCGTTCTCATACTTCTCAAAACCAAAACCACTTCTCCTTCTTTCTCGAGCGCTCAGCCCCAATACCATTGCTACTAGGCAGTCTGCCTTAATGTCTTTTCCTTCCTGTTTCTTCCTTCTATTTCTTTCTTTCTTTCTTTTTTTTTCCTCTTCCATTTTATCATGCAAATACAAGCTCCTCAGTATTCTCTATTCCCTTGTTCCTCTTTCACTCCAAACTCCTCCCCTCCTCTTTTTGGGTCTTCTGAGACCCAAATCTGTGCAGCATTCTTAATTTATTCTACCCACAACCATTTACTTACCAATAAGGACTGCTGGAAGTTTTATCTAAGCTTGCTATGACTGCTGACTTCCAGGAGATGATCTGTTGACACAGTCCTATACGCTTTACTTGAATAATAAACCACAGGGTCGTATTATTGGAATTTTCTTTATGTCCTGCTAAAGTTAGTGATGAATGTTTTAGCTTTATTTCCCAGGCTTCGAAAGTACTTTGACTACTCCCAGATGATACAGAAGAGCACTCAGTAGTATTAGTATATGCACATGAATAGTCTGCCGATAATTACAATACTTACTAGTGAAAGACAAACATAGTGCTTATTTACAAGTAACTATTTTCAAGTACATGATGCTTGTAATATTGTTAATTTTTAAAACCACAAGCTTCTTCAAGAAACTAAGTCTTTGAAGTTAAGCTATTTTCTCTTGCTCAGGTGAACCTAATATGACTTTATTCTCCCCTCCTTGCCACTTACGGCATCTTTCCTTTCCCCTTTGATATTTCTTAATACTAAAGGTGTTTTCTTTTGTTTCTGTTTCAATAACATGCAATTCCCAGAGAATTCCAATAGTGGCAAGCATAGCGCTTGTTGCTTCAAATTTGTCTGTCCATTCTCTTGCAACAGAGCTGGACTTTGAGGTATTCTGTCTTTAGACAGAATATATAGCTATATATTTATGTATATACATGTACACACACACACACACATACACACATGTAGATATATGTATATTTTTTGCATGAGTAGAATCAGGCAGTTCTAAGTACCTTTTATTCAGAAATATCACATCACCCACTTATTTTTAAGCTCTTTTTGAGCAGTTGAAGGCAATGGGAGTTCAGGAGTACTTGTATTAGTGCATACATTATCTTACCAAAAGTTAATGAATTGGTAACTGAATGAAGCAAGTTACTTCAGAAACACTGCATTTATTTACTAACAGTTTTCAAGCTCTAATTGTTCAGAAAAGAATTTTATCTGTAAACTGGGTAGCTGGAAAACCTTCAATGCACCTTTGTAATGGCTTTGTTGTTGTTTATTGAGGGACTAATTAACTTTGATTATTGCACTAATATTATGGCACTTTGGCAGGCCCTCAGATTTATGACTCTGGGAAAATAAACAAATGAAATGCAGGTGCTGGAGCAGAAAGAATAAGTTATTACTGAACTTTAATTACTTGGAGTGTGTAACCAGGAGAGAATTAGTTGATGAATTACAAGATCCTTAAAATTTACATGAAATTGTAAGTAATCTTGAGGAAAACAAACACAAAAACCTGCCCCAAAGTCAGTTCCTGAAAACAGAAAGACAAAGGTGAATTTGATTGAGAATAAAATTAAAATATTGATAGAAAAATTATTTTTTGTGAATTATGCAGATATAACTGCAGGGTAGGAAGTTGTTAGTTTAAAAATTCTTTCCTAAAATTGATGAGTTTAAGAAAAAGAAAAATATCAACGCGCTTTGTAATTTAACTGAATTCTTCATAGGTAGCTGGAACTATTGTCTCTTGCTATAAAGAGCTTTAAAACATCCATAACTCTTGTTTTCCTTATTCCTAGGGAAAATAAATGATTGAAAGGAGATTGGTTCACTTGAGCTTTACTTTTCAATTTAGAACTGTTTTTCAAAAGTATACCTGTTTAGGATGCAGCCTTGCAAAGCCTCATACGCAAGTTACTCAGGCAGCATTTTGGCATTGCTGGTGCTGTCTGCTTGCTTTATGTTTTCTTCTAAGTGTTTTTGAGACTGAATCTCTGAGCTGTGCTATCAATAGCTTCTGCATCCAGTGTTCTGAGGGGGGGAAATTCTGAGATAATAAATGCCTACTCCTCAAATGTTTGTCCAAAAATTGTTTTTTACAATTTACACAACTATACTCTTTTATAACTCAGAGGTTTGCCATATAGAATTCTAGAGTGCTTAAATGTCGTAAATTTCCCATGATAATAAAATTAGTGGTTTTATAATAACAAATGTATATTACCAGAAGCAATGGATATCCTACGCTGCCTTTTACGTGTGGCAGAGTGCTCCAAAGCTTAAGGAAATATTCTGACACAGAATATTTCCTTTTTCCATCCTTGTGTTGTTTGATATGGAGTATTTGCAATTCCTTATGAAGGAAGCAGAAAGAATTGTGATTGCTTGTTTTCTGTTCTTCCAAAATAATTAAAAGTACTTAAACAACCACTATTATTTCAGGTTTTTGACACAATTATATAATTGATGGTCTATATTAAACAAAAGCTTGAAACATACATGGAAAAAATATAATTATTTTTAAAAGACTACTGTAACGCAGCTTTCAAAAATAAAGTATGGGATACATAACGGTACTTAGGAAAACCACCCATCGCGTTCTGTTAGTGAGTTTATTTGTGCAGTCATAGTCTGGAGAGCTCTAAAATAAGTGTCTGCAGAAGTACAGCTTTTTTTCTTTGGCCCTGTTGTACTTTTAAGTAAGTCGTTAGGCAAAAAATAAGTTTCAGAATAGTTTGTTTTTACTGAATGCTGAAAATCAAGTTCCTAAAGAGAAAATGGGACAGCCAACTGGCATGAAAAATTCAATTTGTTAAGGTTTTTAGAAAACGGGAGGAATAACCAGAGAAAACAAGATTTGGCAGATCAGCTGCTATTCCAGACATTTAAACAAGTTCATATTAATCTTAATTGGCTGTTGGAGACAAATCTAGAAAAGTTTGTTTTCAGCAGTTTATGTCCAAAGAGCTGTTTAATTATAGAGTTTTGAGCCAGTTGGGTAGGGATTATCCTTACAAACTTGCTAATTATTTTTGATAACTATGACATTTGTTTGCAGCCTGCAGTATTTCAGTTATTTTCTTTTTAAACTATAGCAGAATTTTTGATAATGTCACAGATGGAGAGGGAATTGCCTCGTGTAAAGCACTGTGAAAGGTTTTAATGTGGCTGGTCTAGCAAGTCTGTCAAATATAATTTTTATAGAGAGATGTAGTTGATTGTGTTGGTACAATCTGATATTCTTTATATACATAGACAATGTAAAAGAAGCAGACAAAGAGATCAGTACAGCTTTACATTTGATATCCTGAAAATGAATGTTTTTCATGCACGATGACATTCAATACCAATTTAAAACTGTTTGATAATTTCTTGCTCAGAAAAGAGGAAATTAGAATTCTAGAGTTATGATTCATTTTAATCAGAAAGAAATTGTCAAGCATAAATCTCTCCTTGAGTAGTGAAAAGGCCTGAAAGCAGCCAAGAAAAAATATCAATACTTTGCAAAGGAGGAATGATTGTTCCAATTCGTAGCTTAATTGACTTTAAGGCTTAATGAAAAACACTACAGTGCTGTTTGTACACATAGTTGCTCTGACGAACGTTGAAATCTATGCTCTGGGAAGAGAAGTTAGGTAATTTATTTTAAATTATTATTGATATCATTTTCTAATTGAGTATAAGCGTAATGGTTGGATAGGACTACGTAGCTCCAGATGTTAGTGTTATTCTCAAGAAAATTCTTAGAAGTGTGAATGAATAAAATATTTCATGAATCACAGCTTTTATTGCCAAGGAGCTCTCATTTATTTATTCCTGTCAAATAGTCTTTGAAGTAGATATTAAAAGATAAACTGTAAGTTTAATATTTCATAAAAAAGTAATGTTTCTTGTGTAATTATTCCTCAGTATTAAGCCTTTAGCTACATCAAAGAAAGATTAAACTGTTTAAAAAAAATTAGATTTCCTTTTATATGTGGAAGCTTATAAGGTATAGATGTGACAACAGAAGAGAGAATACCTATGAAAAAACCCACCAAAATAAGCCTGACTCTTTACTATGTTCCTTTCCCCAGTGTATTTTCCACCTAAGGAATGATTTATATTCTTGCTGATCGAGTAACTGAATGAAATTAAAACCTGATAAGTGAGTCTTTGTATTCCAGTTGTAATCTTGCAAAGCATGGATAGACTACGCGCAAATTGGTGCGTGTTTGCACAGAATATGGACAACAATTTTCTTTCTTTCTTTTTTTAAATGTTTATTTCCTCCTTGAAGGAAGGACTAATTTGCCTGGTAGCGTTTAGTCTCCATTGCTTCCCGTGGTTGACTGGTTTTGGTGCTTAGAGTGCAGGATAGCTCTGTAAAACATTGTTCTACCCAACAAAAACAATTTTAGGCTTGTTGTCTTGATACTAGTGGAGTTTCCAAAGTGGTACTAAATAAAAGCTTTTAAAATGAAATTTCTTCAAATAGAAAATATTTCAGAATATTTTACTGTAGAGCATACACATTT